TTAGAAGCTTAAAAAAGATATAGAAGTAATGCAAAGAGGGAATAATGAATTCTGTCTGGGGTTTGTGGTCAGGGGAATCTTAGAGGTAGTATGGTCTGAGCTGGATATCGTAACAAAAATTAATGAGATAATTAGAGGGGGAAAGGGCATTCTTGGCAGATAAGACAGCAAGTGCAAAGGTTCAAAGGCATGTCTGTTTGAGGAACTGTAAATTCTCAGGTATTATAGAGCTCGTCAAGAGCAGAGATTTTGACTGTTCCCTCACTATATCCAAAGTAGCCTAGTAGAGAGCCAGGAGCTCAGTAGACAATAAATATTTGCTGAATAAAGGAAGGAATGAGAAGGAGCCTTGTGCCATTCTAAGGACCTTGGATTTATTCTTGTACCTCCCATTGGCTGAACCTAACTGGAAGCTAGGGGGCAAGAGAGTCTTGGAAATTTAGTTTGTAGGAGTCAGTCCCTGAACAAAGAAAAGGGAAGGGAGCCTTAATCTTCCAAAAAGAGACTATGCCATGTCCCATTCCTCAGTTTAATCCTAAAGATTAAATGCTAACGTTTCTAAGCAGCTTTAAATTGCTTTTTGTTATTCTGACCCTGAAGAGTGTCCCAGTGCTAACTTCTGGGCATCTCTATTGTTTTTCTTCCAGAGTTAAGAGTTTTTCTTTGATATCACCCCTTTATGATGATAAGTTTTGTTCTTAGAAGTATTCAGTATCTCTGAATGCAGGTAACTCCTATTTGTCCTCATTCACGTAACAGGGATTCTGCCTTGGTCCTTATTCCAATCCTTGACTAACAAGCTGCTTAGTCCCCCTAGCCCCTCCTGAGACTGCCTTCGCCAGTCTTCCACCTGAGAGGAAAGACATGATCCATGAGGGGCCATAATCCATCAGTCTTGGATTTATGTGTTGCTCCCCTCATTTCCCGGTTCCTTACCCTCGAGTTTTTCCCATATGTTAGAAGACCCTCCTCTCCCACTTGTTGGGCTCTTGGTGATTAGAGTACTGGGGATTATTTTCCCCTTGGACACCATGGTAGTCATTAGGGTTGTTCACAAAATTTCATGTTCTCCTCCTTCTAGTAACACGGCATAGGATCACATTTCCCTTCTCTTTTGAAGTTAGGTTTGGTCATGTGACTTCTTTGGCCAATAAAATGTGAATGGAAGCGAAGCATACTGCTTTTGGATGGAAGCATTTTAATGGCTAGAGCAACACACGGCAGCACTAGTAATTAAATTTTATGATCCCCACTGTGGCAATCTTGAAAACATGTATCTCAGTGAAGCCTCCATCAGTCTGGGGACCTCAGTGACTACAATGAGCAGAGTCCATGTAGGGCATGTTGTGCTGAGCTCCCCAGATCCACCCTTTAGGACTAAAGCTCAACCTCTCCCAATTGCTGGAGATGTTGGTGGCTGACTGCTCTCAGCTGAGTCCCTCTGTGGGAGTTGCTCTTGGCTAAAGAGAGCCCTCTCAACCAAGGGTCACCTCCCTTCCCTGGGTGCAGCCCATTTGCAATGACTGGTTGATGTGAGGGTATAGAGAGCTGGCCCCCCGCCTCAATTTAGGACAGTGCTGAAGGGCCATCCCAGCTCCAGATCTCCCTGCAGAACTGGCTGAAGACTCAGTTGCAATTGAGTTGCAGTTCGACTTCTCTCTTTGCAGATCTTGTGACCCTCTGTCTCCAGAGATTCTTCTTGAGAACACTACCCAATAACCTCCTGCATGCAAATCTCAGAGATTCAGGATCTGCTTTCCAGCGAACCCCACTTGCAGTAGGCTTCCTGATGATTTGTATCAAACACGTAACATGTGTGAGAAATAAACCTTTGTTGCAAAAAACAAATGGTGAGATGGTTGTTACAACCTAGCCTATCCTAACTAGTAGAGATACCAAACCTTGCCTGTCCTGCCCATGCTTTGTTCTCACCTGAGCTTGACTTGCATTGTCTGTCTTGTCTTAGTGGACAGACTGATTGCCAGGTTCTAATTCTTCTCTGATGTTCTCTGTCATAGCGAGTGAACAGACATGTTCCAACTGAGGTATTACAAGGAGCAACAGAAAAGGGAAGAGGGTTTCCTACCTAGTTGTCTACTAATTATTCCTATAAAGTCAGTGGCACATTTTTTTTTCATGTGAATTTCCTAGGACCCTTTCTTCTTTTCTATATAATTTGTCACACACATTTTATAATATGTATAGGGTACTTACTGTTTCTTAGGAAAATTTTTATGTAAATAAAAATAGAATAGTCAAGTACTTGATCCCACTTTGAGAAAAACAGTATACTACCAATTAATAAACTTTCTGCACCTCTAACATACTAAAATCCTATTTCTGAGTGCTAGATCTTATTTTCTTCAAAAGTCAATGGTAAAACAATACCAATTTCTTATTTAGGCCTTTTGGGCAAAACAAAATAAAGTAATAAAGCTAACGAATCAAAGCATATGCTCCTTCTAATTTTTTTTTTTTTCCTTTTAAAGGGACTTTACTACACAGAAAAATTTCTCTCTGCCTTAAGGGTAAACAGTATAAAAAATATTTCCACTAAAAAGAGTCTGAGAGTCCTGGGCTGGTATTACCACAACCTCTAATTATAGAAGATATTTAGTATGATAGCAGCAACTAGTTTAAGGAACGTGGAGATTTATTTACACCAAGTTCAGATAAAGAGATAAAAGGGGACTTGAATAAGCAGGCAGACTGTGACTTGAGGAGTGTATCTATGAACGTATCTTTGGAACTGACTGCCCTTAGTCAGAAGGAAAGACCAGCAAAACCAGCCTTCAGAATAACCCTTCTGCTTAGTAGGAAAAAGCAGCCTAGACCTCGCCTCTCAGATCGCCCTCCCACGCAAATTTTCCACCTCGCAGCTAGGAATTAAACCCAGACTTCCGATCATGGCGCCACGCACGTCGCCCTCTCCCTTCTCCTCCAGCGAAATCCCACCCAAGTCGACCTGATCCCGCAGCGTTGTGTGAGGGCTGCAGGGCGCGGGGAGGAATCCCTTCCCCTCTACGGGTTGCTTGGGTTTTTGCAATTCAACAGAACCGACTGAAAAGATCCTTTCCGGATTCAAGGGAGCTTGGGTACCTACAGGACCCTCTCATTTCCCTGGGTGCGAAGACTCGATCCCACCCATTCCCTGAGGCAGCAGCTCCTCACGCAATTTCCTTGCACAGACCCTACGAAGCCTCTCAGGCCCCCAGCCTCCGGGAATACAGGCCCACCCTCGAGTGGGGAGCCGCGCTGCACAGACAGACGTGCACACACAGCAGGGCAGTGGACAGAATTTTAAAAGAAAGAGTTTTCTTCCTGGCTTCGCATCCTTTCAAACATTCCATCTTCCGGTCGGCTCAGAAGGGCTACGGGAACGGGTGCTTGCGGGAAGCAGGCCACCGATAAGAGCAGCACCATCCATTCAGGGGTGGTCTCTCCAATTCCGGCTTTTGTTTGAGTCAGTGCCGGGAGCCCGAGGAGGCCAGTCTCCGGTTCTGGGAAAGGCGGGTCCCGTCTGGATTCTTCGGGCGACGGAGAGGCCGGCTCTGGCCCCGAGAAACCACGGGGCAGCCCTGCCCCCCAGGTTTTACTCCGGGGGACCCGGGGGAGACAAGACGCCTCAGTCAGGGGCTAAGCCACCGAGCCCGGAGGAGTTTGCCAAAGGCTGGACAAAAGATGTGGCCGCCCTCGCTTAAACTCACACGCACATCCCAAGCGTGCACGTATGAAACGCGTGTGTGAGTCGGGAGACGCCACTGCTGCCCCGGCGGGCCGGCGGCCCCACCCCGCCCTCGGCGTCTCGGGAGACACGCCGCGTGAGGGCCGCGCAGCACGCCTCGG